GTCAGCTTAAGACGGCCCAAGAAGCCCCCACGACGGCCCCAAGACGGCGAAGAGGGTCCCAAGATGGCCCAGAAGGAGCTCACGACTGCCAAAGAGGCATCAAGACGCCCCCAAGACGGCCCAACTGGGTCCCTCGTGAGACCCAAGGCGCCCTCACACGGCCGTTCGACGGCCCAAAAAGGCGCCAAGATGAGCCCAAGACGGCCCAAGAGGGCCCCATGACGGCCCAAGAGGGCCAAGACTGCCTCACAAGAGGCCAAGACATCCCCAAGACTGCCTAAACGACTTCCATGAGGGATCCTCTAATAGTAAACACACACAAAATGGGTAACATGTGAGGACCATCCTGTTCCTCCTCCTGCAACTCCTCCTGCATCGCCATCATCATTATCGTCGTCGTCGTCATCATCATCATCCTGAAGCAAAGGACTGAGACGACAGCAACGAACAGGGATCCAAGCGACGAAAAGGAACGGCAACGACGAAAAGGGACTGAGAAGGACCGATCGGAGGAAAAGGGACCCGCAAGAACTACGACGACAAAAAAAGGTATCACAGGGACAAAGAAAAGACAAACCTATGACAAGGGACTGAAATTACGAAAAGGGACCAAACGAAGCGAGGTCGACAGAGGGACTGAAAGGGACTCGCACGACAAATCGGGACAAAAAGGGGCTGAGGCAACGTAAGACGACGACGGCAACGAAAAGGGACTCGAACGACGAGAAGGGACTGGAACGACGAAGAGGGACTCAGAAGGATCGGAGCGACGAAAGGCAGCTGGAACGCACACCATGGACGGAACTGACACGACAAGGAATGGCCGAAACTACAACAACAAAAAGGAACTGAAGCAAAGAACAACGACGACAACAACGAAAAGAGATCCCAGCGACGCAAAGGAACGGCAACGACGAAAAGGGACCGAAAGGGCAGAGCATTCGAAAGCACCACGACGACGACAAAGATACAACAGATACTGAGACTATACAAGCCTACGAAAAGGGACTGGGTCTACGAAAAGGGACCACACGAAGCGAGGTCGACAAAGACACTGAAAGGGACTCGCACGACAAATTGGGACAAAAAGAGACTGAAGCACCGTAAAGCGACGACGGCAAAGAAAAGGGACCCGAACGACGAAAAGGGACTGGAACCACGAAAAGGGGATCGAACGACGAACAGGGACTCAGAAGGACCGAAGCGACGAAAAGCCACCATAACCAACTAGAAGGACGAACCTGATATCACAAACAATGTCAAATACAACAACGTAAAAAAGGACTGAAGAAACCGTCCGGGACGATAGCAACGAAAAATATCAAACTACAAAAAACGAAGGCAACGACGAACAGGGACTCAAAATACTGGAACGACGAAAAGTGACTCGAATGCACTACGCCGACAAATAGGACATAGCAGTGAAAAGAGATTCGCGCGACAAAGCGAGACCAAGAGGGACTCAACCGACGAAAGGGGACTTAACCGACGAAAAATGACTCAGACGAGGCGACGGTCTCAAAGGTACTGAACCCCGCCCCTGGCGCTGGCACCGCCCCATGGCGGAAAGAGCCATGGCGTCAAAACGGCCAAGGACGGCCCAAGATGGCCCCAGAAGGCCCCGAAGGGACCCCCGAGAGCGCCTCCAGAAGCAAAACACATAGGTTTCCATTTTTCAGCGATTTCAGCGTTCTCGCATGTTTCGACTCTCGATGGCCACGACAGCCGAAGCAGCCTCCAAGACAGCCCCCATACGGCCCAAGATGGCCCCACGACTGCGCACCCACATGGCCCACACAGGCCACAAAAACGTTCCAAGAAGCCCTCAAGACGGCACAAGAGGGGATTCAGACACGATTCCCCCCAATGGGCCCCCTCATTTCCTTCATTGCCCCTTCCGACACGAGAATAGGCCACACAAAAACGGCTTTTGAAGAGACATTGGGAGAAAGAGCGGCCCAAAAGGCCCCAAGGACGCCCCCTTAGGCCCCCGACACGCCTCCAAGAAGCCCCAAAAAGGATCAACAAATTCCCACAACGACTGAACTGTACGTGGTCCGGTCCGGTCCGTGGTCGGCGGAATGGCGTAAGCCTCTTGAATCCACGTCCGGAGGTGACGTGCTGAGCAGCAGCGTTTTCCGCGGACGCCGTGATGCAATGCATCCAACGTATCAAATGATTGCAGAATTGCTACATTGTGCATTATGTTGCATTGTTATGTCTCCCCCTGACCCCCCCCCATGGGGCCACGCCATTCCAAAGTGACCCTCCCGTCTCGGGCTTTCAAAGCGTGTTTGCAAAACTATGGGAGATCGGCGATCTGGGCCTCTGGGGGGCCTAAGGAAGCCGCAAACTGGCCCAGGATGGCCTCGGGCCCGGCCAAGCCGGCCCCAAGACGGCCCAAGATTGCCCCTCCAGGGCTTATGAGGCCTTCATGACGGCCCAAGAATGTCCAAAGAGTGCAAACAAAAAAAGCATACTTTAGCGTTCTCGCCTGCTTCGACTTTCAAAAACCCATGACGGCCAAAGCAGCTGCCAAAATTGCCCCCTGAAGGCCCAAGAACCCCCCAAAAAGAGCCCAGGACTGCCCCGGAGGGACCAAAGACGGCCCCCAACACGGTCCAGGAGGCCCCCGAGACGGCCCAAGAGACCCCAAAAACGCTCCAATGCGGCCGCGAGAAGCCCTAAAACTGCCTACGGAAGGGTCAGACAGGCTCCAAGTCTGCAAAGAAGACCCCAAAACGGACCGACGTGGCCCCACGAGGCCCCCGAAACGCTTTCCGAAAAGCCAAGAAGCCTCACTGAGGCGCCCGAAAACGCCCTGGCGCATTGCACAGAAAACTTCATCACACAGCTCCGCAGGCTGGTCCTCCGTACATGTGCGACGCCTGTCGCCACCCCAAGGAGCCCACAAAAGACGTACGCGTCCAGCCACGTACATGAACACGGCCCAACCACGTATATGAACACGGCCGCGTGATACGAACGTTCGCACAATGCGAACTCCCAGAACCCATGTGGAATCATGTACGTGTACGTCTTTCTTTGTTCATGACACGCGCACGGCGGCAAGGAGGCGGCATCGATTCGTCAACGTGGCCAGACCCACCAAGCGCACGAGGCGGCAAGGAGGGGACAACGGGCGTGGCGAAACCTCGCCCGACCCACCCAACGCACGAGGCGGCAACGAGGAAGCAAAGGGCGTCAGTGGCGAAACCTCGCTGGACCCACCAAGTGCACGGCGGCCACGAGGCGGCCACGGGCGGCAACGTGTCAAATCCTCGCCGGCCCCACCCAGCGCATCAGGCGGCCTCGAGGCGACCACGGGAACCCTCGCCAGAGTCATCCAAATCTCTAAGTGCAAGCCTCAAGAGTGCATTTCTAAATTCGCGGCCATAAAGACGGGAGGGGGGGGTGGGGGGGCATAACGTAACGGCCCCCCACAGACCGTGGTGCCGCACGCACTGTGGCAGTGCCGGGGACGCACTGAGGGGGGGAACGTTACGTTATGGGGGGGGGAGGGAAGGTAGGAGCAGAACGCGCCTTATGGCCCAAAGGTTTAACAAACAACTCTTCAAGTGGAACACTGTTTCGGGGAAAAGACAGAAAATCTATATGGTCCTCTGACGCTCTGTGTATATACTGCGTGTGGTCGAGGGGTCGCGACAAGGTTGCGCCGTGCACTCAAACTGCTGTTCTGTTGATCGAACAATTGATGTCGCATTCGTCGTGGTGACGCATCGACAGTCGTCGACGGAAGAAACGCGTGCGTCTTTCCTATCGTTCTTTCTGTCTGCACTACAGAGCTGAATGCCGATGTGTCCTGCATGGCTTCTCAAATGAACGAATATGGCGCATCGTGGTCATACACCATGAGTCCAGTCCATTGGGCCATCTGTCCCAGGTGTCGGTAAGTATTGTTAAAATGTTTCACAGCTGTCAAGTTCGTATCTGGCCTAAGCACCAGCGGATGATGCAGGCCAGACTGGTACCCCCAGAGGCACGGCGAGATGCTGACGTAATTCTCCTCGTTGAACGCCTTTTTAACATCACCGTGCATAGCGTGCCCGTACTGCGGACTGACATCACAGATTATGTCACCAGTGTCTGCATTGTAGAGCTGCTCTCGAATGCAGCTGGGTGCGTGACAATGAGGGGTCATTACTAGTGGCGTAATTGTTTTGTAAGACTTTGGTGTATCCTCTAACCCCATGTCCTTCGCTTGCAAGTGCGCTGTGATCACGCCAATGTTTCTCGAACCACAGCTGGGACATACTTCCTCGTAATCGTTCACCTGTGCGTCGATCAGAAAGACCCAATGGTGGAGGTGAGCGTGCGAGGCCGGCGTCGGCAAATACTCCTGAAAATCCGCCGGCCCCCTTGTGGGGCCACCAGGCTGTAGGCGCGGGTTCGCAGTTTCCTGTACCAGTTGTTGCTTGTAGTTTCCAGTGGGTCAGGGTCCAAAAACACATGGGATTTGCCACATTTCTGAAACTCGGTGCCACCCCTCACGCAGATCCGCGGGGTCAGGGTCCAAAAACACAGGGGATTTGCCACATTTCTGAAATTCGGTGCCACCCCTCACGCAGATCCGCGGGGTCAGGGTCCAAAAACACAGGGGATTTGCCACATTTCTGAAATTCGGTGCCACCCCTCACGCAGATCCGCGGGGTCAGGGTCCAAAAACACAGGGGATTTGGCACATTTCTGAAATTCGGTGCCACCCTTCACGCACATCCATCGCAAGGCGTGGTAACCCAAACTGCGAGAACTCCCTCGGCCCTTTAATCGCAAGGTGTGGTAACCAAGCCCGTAAACCATACACGTCTTACCAATCGCCAGGTGTGGTAACCCCTCTTGTGATCAGTTGGTTTTGCTGATTGCGAATCGGCTTCGCATGAAGTTTCGATACTGCTTCACGACAGCGCCAAGGCCTCATGACTTAGCTCTTCCATGGCCCATTCTCCGAGAGAGGGGGCCGGCGGCAGGGGGCGAAGCACTTACGGATAATACCTCCACTTCAGGAAATAGACGTCGGTCTTGTCCGGGATCAGTGCTTCTTGGGCGAGGTCTGTCAAGAACCACCCCGGCCAGCAACACTGCAACCCGCCGTGGTAGGTCGCCATGCTGCAGGCCGGGTTGGGGCCGGGGGGGCCAGTGCCGACCCCACCCTGAGCCATGTCGCTGCGCGGCTCGCCTTCGCAAGAATACCCCTCCCACTCTTTGAAGGTGCCATTCATGTAGGCCCAGTAGTGCATCTCCTTCCCGCTCTCGTTCACGATCTTCCTCGTGACCCTGTCGGTGCACGGGCACTCGATGAGGGGACTCAGGCGGCTGTTGAAATCTGTCATGCGATTCTGTTGCGACGTCGGCAAAAACCATGGCTGGTAACCTGATTCGTCAGTGATGTCAACATTCCGATTGTGCGTGTCAATTTGCATGGGGTTGACGACCCATTGCTGCGGCGATTCCACCAATTGCGCGAAACCACCTGGATAACCGTGGTAACTCTTCCTGAATTCTCCTCCTGGGTTTTCCTTGAAAACGATACTTGATGGAAATTGCGAATTCACACCTGGTCTGTCTCGGAAGCTAGTCCACGTGGGGTTGGGAATTCTGCTTGGCTTATCCCTGATGACCATCTCTGCGTTCTTGCCCACAAGCCAGCTGAAGTAATGGTGATTATATGCATGATAGATCGGGACAGACTTGTCTGTCCCAGGGCATTCGGGGTAGCAAGCAAATCCTCCTAGCTTGGTGTCCGTCGTGGTGCTTCCAGGCTGCGGACCAGCATGCGTTACCTGGTCTATTTCGTAGCCGGTAATGGCCATGACCTTGCCGTCGAAACGTTTCACCAAGTCTGGTGGCAGATTGATGGGTTCATTCCTCGTCCAATACACCTCGGAGTACCTCGTGCGGATCTCCCCGTAGACGTCAAAGTGCTCCACGGGGCCCATGGCGTTGACGTTGAAATTCGTGGAGTACTCCCCACCGGGCGCAGCATTGCTGATGGCGTACGGGATCCCACCCTCGTTCATCACGGGCGCTTCCCTCCCACGGGCCACGCGGAGGCAGAGGCCCGCCGCTGCGAGCAGGCACGGGCGCATCATGGGACGGGGAGGCCGTGGCTGGGGAAACCAATGGGTACTGATACCGCGACTCCCCGGACCTCCCCTGGGGCGCGTTCTGACCAGGATTTCGAAGCGAATCCAGCAGCGGCGACGAGGGCCTCCCAGGAGGCCCCAAAAAGGGGAGAACGGGGGAAGGGTAGCGGTATGGGTACCGTTTCCTCCTCTGAGGGAAGGACGTTGCTGGGCGTGCTTCCGCAACTGCCTCGGGTGGGCCTGCCCTGGGCTACGGACGACGCAAAGCGTATACAGTCGAAACGCTGTCAAAAGAAACCCTAGACAAGGAACGAGGTCCCCTTCTTCCACAAGTCAAACTTCGATGTCCCATCGAAAACCGAAGGTAAACCCAAGGCAAACTGTAATCAATTACGGGGTGTTGAGTCCCACCCCAACGAAAAAGGTTTCTTACTCAACGGCCCGGCTGTACCGGAACAGCTCGATCCGCGCGTCCGCGCTCCACGCGTGCTGGCACGCGCGGGGCGCGTGCATCGAGCTGGTCTGGTGCACGGTTGGCGTCGTTCACAGGCTGCCTCGAGCCGCCAGGGGGACAGAAAGCTTCAGCCAACATGGCTCCAAAGGCGCTCACCCTTGCCGAAATTGTTTAAAACGTTTTAGATTTTATAGCGCCGAGCTGTGAGTCCGTACGCAGAAAGACCAGCTGCGAGGAATAAGCGAAAAGCAATCGCGGGAGGCAGGTGGGCGCCAGCGGGGCTCTCAACTCCCCTCCTCCTCATCTCCCATCCTCCTCCTCCTCCCCCCTCCTCCTCCTCCTCCTGATCCTCCTCCTCCTCCTCCTCCTCCACCTCCTCCTCCAAATCATCTCCCATCCCCCCCCATCCCTGCTCCTCCTTCTCCTACCCCCTGCTCCTCCTCCTCATCTCCCATCCTGATCCCTTCGGCCCCTTTCTGGGCTCACAGTAATCACGTCAGCATAGATTTGGAGCACACTACGCTGCTCAGCAAACTCCGATACGATCCGCTGGTGATGGTACAAGATTGCGCACGGGCAGGCAGTCTTTGCACTTGGGGGTCTGCCGCAGTAGTGAGGCGTCCTGAGACTGCCAGGACGACCGACACATGCCCCAAAAACAATCTAAGAGGCCTTCAGAACGGCCCAAGGGGACCAAAAGGGAGCCCCCATGTGAATCCGAGAGGCCCCCAAGACGGTCGAAGAGGCAACCAAAACGGACCAAGGGGCCCCGTGAGAGCTACATGGCAGCACCGACAGGCCCCCAAGACAGGGGCCGCACGGCACGGGAGACGCCCCTAGGAGGCCCAACGAGGCCCCAAAAGAGGCCCCCGACAGGCCCCGAACAGGCCCACTTATGAAGCCTCCAAGACGCCCTCAAGAAGCTCAGAACGGCCAAGGGGGGACACAATATGGCCCAAAAAAGCCCCCAAGACGGCCCAAGTGGCCCCACAAACAGCAGAAGAGTCGGCCAGTCCCTCGGGTAAGGCTGCCACGGATGCTGCGGTCGATGCCCCCTCTGCGCGTGGCCGTAAGACGGCCCAAGACGGCCCCGGATGGCCCAGAGAGACCCCTAAGACGGCGCAAGGGGCACCCCAAAACGGCCGAAGAGAACCCCAAGAGAGCCCCCAAGCGACTCCGAGGGAACCCAAGACGGCCTCCGAATGGGCGGGACTGCCCAAAAGCGCCCCAAGGCGGCCACATACGCCTCCACGAAGCCTCAAAAAGGCCTCGACAGGCTCTGACAGGCCGCCAAGAAGGTCCCGCAACGACTTGACTGTACGTGCCCCAGACGTGCACCCCGCAAAGCGAAACGAACCCACTTCCAGCAGGCACGCGTCACCAGAGGCAGGTTCGCGAAAGGCGCAATGCAACGAATCCCAAATATCAAATTAGCATATACGGCTACGCATCCTACTATGTTGCAATATTATGTCTCCCCCTGGCGCCACGCCATACTCGTCGACCAAAGACAGTGAACACGTTGTGGGCTACGGAAACCAGACAAGACACACATGTATATACATATACCCTGTAACGCCCCGCGCGGGGGTACAAAACCAACTGGGTGCAGTTTACTCAGTGGAGCGTCATGTTGTCTCCTCCTCCACTCGTGTTCTTGCGCCAAACGTCCACCCCTGAGGCTCTCGGAAGTTTCCACAAGGCTCGCAGGTGGTAAGAAAAATGCCCCGAACATCGAAGACTAAATTATTCGAGGTGTCGTCTTCGACTCCGTTCCCGGAGCCCCGACGTGTTGTCGTGAAAGTATCCTCGGAGGGCCTCTTTGTGACGCTCCCGAGAGAGGGGAGGAGGGAAGAGAGAGGAGGGGCGGAGGAGGGAGGAGGACGGATGGGGAGGAGGCGGATCTCGCGCCCGACGCTATCGGAGCCATCGAGGCTACGGCTGAGGTAGGAGGAGGAGGAGGAAGAGGAGGAGGAGGAGGAAGAAGGGGAGGCGGAGGAGGAGGAGGAGGAGGAGGAGAAAGAGGAGGAGAAGGAGGAGGAAGAGGGGGAGGAAGGATTACAAGCAGGACAGATGAGGAGGCGGATGACGACGACGAGCAGGAGGAAGAGAGGGATTGACGCCCGTCCTGGAGCCTCTTGGTGTCGCCTGTGTTCTCCTAGAGCGTGCTGGGGGTCCTGTGGCCTGTTTGGGCTTTTCGGGGCCTCTTGGGCCCTCTTGGAGCCTCCTGGGCCCTCTGGAGCTCCTTGAGTGTAATTCAAAATGGGTCCTACGGGGGGCTCTTGAGATCTCGTGGGCTCTCCCGGGGCCGCCATGGGCCCTCCTGGAGCCTCCGTGGGCCCTCTACAAACTCTCTCGCGGGGGCGGAATGATGAAAACAATTTTACGCATGGGGGCCTTTCCGTTGAGAAGGGGGGCGCGGTGCAGAGCGGGTCCTCCTGGGGCCCTCCGGAGATCTCCTAGGCACTCCCGAGGCCGCCGTGGGCCCTCCTGGAGCCTCTGGGGGCCTCTAAGAAGCCTCTCGCGGGGGCTGAAAAATGACAGCAGTTTCACGGATGGGAGCCTTTCCGTTGAGAAGGGGGGCGCGGTGAAAGGTAATAAAGTGACGACAGTGCCGCACTTGAGGCCCAAAGTCGTCCTTGGGCACCTCGGGCGCGAATCCCCCTCCCCCATCGTACGGTGCGATTTCCCCTCCCCCCGCTGTCCCGCCGGACCCCGGGAGGGTGATCTTTGTGATTCCCGCTTGTAAGAAACACTTCCGCCCCCCCCTCGACGGTGACGGAGAGCAGGCGGCGGGGGGTGGGCGGGTTGGCGGGGTGGCGGGTTGGCTCGGGTTGCGGGGTGGCTGGTTGGGCTGGTCGAGCCGGTTGAGTTGTTTGGGTGGCTGGTTGGTTGGGCTGGCTGGTTTGGCTGGCTAGGGCAATTGGTTTCGATATATACATGCACATAGGAAATCATTGATCTGCCTTTTGGGCCTCCTGGGGGTTTCAACGGGGCCCCGACACGGCTCAAAATTGCGTCAACACGGCCGAAAACGGCCCCAAGTCGGCCCAAGATGGCCCCAAGAGAACCCCAAAGGCCTGGAAGACTGCCCTGGACGGCACCATGAGGAGCCCCAAGAGCGCATCCCAGAGGCCAAACACATGGATTGTCCTGCAGGTGCTTGGCAGATTTGAGCGTTCTCGCTTTTTTTGACTCTAGGGGGCACATGCCGGCCAAGCAGCCTCCAAGATGGGCCACAGACGGCATCAAAGGACCTTCAGAGAGCCCCCGAAGGCCCAAGCAGGACCCACAAGATGGCCCAAAGAGGCCCCCAAGACCAAGACGGCCCAAGAGGAGCCCGAGGCGGCTCCGAAAGGTACCCAAGACGGCCTCCGAAGGGGCCAGATGGCGCCAGAGCGCCCAAAGACGGCCCCAGACGCCCCCATGAGCTCCCAGGAAACCCCACAACGACTTGTTGCACGTGCCCCAGACTGGCACCCCTCGAAGCGGGCGGAATCCATGTCTGGAGGTGACGTGCTGAAAGGCAACGTTTTCTGGCGAACGCCTTCATGTAATGTACCCAATGTCTCGAATCATTATTGCATAACTGCTCCATCTGGAAATATTTGAAATGTTCTTAAACCCGTTGAGTGTCCCCCCCTTCCACGGTGTCGCACCACCTCTGCCGACCCTAGAATGGAAGACACGTGTCTGGGTTCCAATAACTACGAAAACCTGTGGAGCATCCGTCATGTTGGCCTCTTTGGCTGCTGGGGCCCAAGAAAGTCTCAAGACGGCTCAGGCTGGCCTCGGCGTAGCCCAAGATGGCCCCAGGACTTCCCAAGAGGGCCCAAAGGTGGCCTCCAAGAGCACCTCCAGACGCCCAAACCGGTGATTTGGTTTAGGTTTGCAGGGTGATGCAAGCGCCCTCGCCTTTTTGGGACTCTCGGGGGGCCATGGCGGCCCAAGCTGCCTGCAAGATGGCCAACAGCAACTGCCCAGGAGGCCCCCAAGAGAGCCCCCTGGCGGCGCGCACAAGAGGGTACAGGCGGACTCGATTGGAGAGGACACGCGAGAGGACACAAGACCCTTCCGAGGGCCACATCGCCATAGGAGTGTAAGAAAGCACGTGTCGCGAGGCACAGGACACAAGGCACCCTTGAGCTGGCAGGGTCGACCTACTAATCCGGGCCGACTGTAGGGGGAGGGCTGAAAGCTTCTTAGAATGAGGCTGCTCCTGAAAAGGCGCCGGCCTTATATCTGCAGATTATTAAGGCCCGCGCCTTCCAAGAAGCAGAGGTGCTTCAAAGAAGCCTTGCCCGAATCCTCCCCCCTACCCCCCTCTGCGCGTGGCCGACACTCCACAACAACAACTGCTCGACCAAGGCTTTTCTGTACGTCCGTCCTGGACTGTCCTGGCCAGCGGCTTGGCGTCAACGATGGCCCGCTCCCTCGGGCAAGGCTGCCACGGATGCTGTGGTCGATGCCCCCTCTGTGCGTGGCCGTAAGACGGCCCAAGACGGCCCTAAGATGGCCCGGAGAGATCCCCAAGACAGGAGGTTCCAAAAACCGCCGAAGAGAACCCCAAGAGAGCCCCCAGGCGACTCCGAGAGACCCCAAGACGGCCTCCGAATAGACCAGACGGCCCAAGAGCGCCCGAAGATGGCCACAGACGGCTCCATGGGGCCTCGAAGAGGCCCCAAGATGGCCCAAGAGACCCAAAGGAGGCCCCAAGAGGCCCCCAAGAAGCTCCCAGGAGGCCCCGCAACAACTTCACTGTACGTGCTCTGGACGGAATCCCAAGGGTGCATGTCCAGCAGTGACGTGTTGCCAGTGGCAGGTCGCGCGAACGCCTTCGTGCAGCGCATCCAACGAATCCATTGATTGCACATTGCCACACACAGTGCATTTTACATTATTATGCCCCCCTCGCCCTGGTGGCAAGCCACTCCCCATCTGGGGCACACGAAAAACGCACAACGGGGGTCCAAGGAGGCGTCAAGATGGCTCAAGATCGCCTCAAGCCGGCCCAAGACGGCCCCAAGGCGCCCAAGATGGCCCAAAGAGGGCCCAAGAGGCCCGCAAGGCAACCCCCGAGGGCCCCACGAGGGCCCCTAGACGGCTCCACAACACCAAAAGCACGAATTTCTCTTGAGCTTCGCGTTCTGGCCTTTTTGGACTCTCGGAGGCCCATGGCTCAGGCAGCCTCCAAGACGGCGCAAGAGGCCCGCAAGCGAGCCCCAAGTGGCCCAAGAGGTGACCGAAGATGGCCCAAAGAGACCCCCAAGACAGTCCAAGAGGCCCCCGCAAGGCGGCCTCAAGAGGACCCACGAGAATCCCCAAACTGCTTCCAACGCCTGTACGTCGAATGGGCCAGACGGCGCAAGAGCGCCCCTAGATGGCCCAAGACGCACACAAGAGGCCCAACAGCGACCCAAAGAGGTCCCAAGAGGCTCCAATGAGGCCTCCAAGAGGACTCCTCCAAAAGGCTCCCAGGAGGCCCCAAAATGAATTTACTGCACGTGCTCCGGATGCGCACCCCGCGAAGCGAGAGGAATTACTCCCGCAAGAACCCACGGGCCAACTGCCTCCGAAGGCCTCCGAAGATTCGAACTCCATCGAGGACGCCGAGGGCCGCGATAAAAAGCAAAGACTACTACTACTACTACTACTACTACTACTACTACTACTACTACTACTACTACTACTACTACTACTACTACTACTACTACTACTACTACTACTACTACTACTACTACTACTACTACTACCTACTACTACTACTACTACTACTACTACTACTACTACTACTACTACTACTACTACTACTACTACTACTACTACTACTACTACTACTACTACTACTACTACTACTACTACCTACTACTACTACGACTACTACTACTACTACTACTACTACTACTACTACTACTACTACTACTACTACTACTACTACTACT